TCACATATAATGACCATTATAATGAAATTATAATGACCAGGCTGAGCCCAAGGGAGGGGTCAAGCATGTCATCACTCTCCAGTCCCTTCATGCCCTCGAGATCTAAGTTCAGCCCACCTTGAATTCCATTTACTCTTATCAAGAGTCCAAAATGACTGCAAATTCATTTTGACTGTTAGCAATTCCTTCTTGTAAAAAATTAGTTAGCAAGCAATAAACCTGTATTCATTTGAATCATTTTGGCTCCTCATTTTCTGTGCTTGGCAGAAATATAGTCACTCTTCATTGAAATTTTGGACACTAACTAATTTCCAATCCCATTTATTTTACAGTTATTCCATTAACTTTTATTAACTTAGAAACGCCTTTTGCTACTTACTAATTTGATTGTTACTCTTGAAAGCAATGTCCATATGCAAAATGCAGAGAATAAATTGGAACCAGGGACTCATCTCATTATTTGGAAGTGGTATGTGAATGGCGAACACAATGTTATTCGCTTCTATTTGTCTGTTCACAGCTTCATCCAAGTCTCTGAGTTTATTACATTGCTCAGGTCCCCATGGTATAAACCATTTGGTCTTACGATGGTCTTTCTGTAAGTCTATGCACTTTGCCGCCACATAAGGCACAGCAGCAGTAGGGTCTGGAGCTGAAAAACAAACAAACAAAATTCGTACATTAAGCATTTTAGCATTCACAAAATACATAAGAAAAAAAGTTAACTGGATGAATTTGATCAGCCACTGTCTCTCAGCCCAATATAACTTACAGGGTTGTTGCGGAAGGGGGGGGGGGGCGCAGGACAAAATGAAGGAACACCATGATAATTACCCTGAGCTCCTGAATGAGACAAGAAATAAATCAAATAAATTTGGCCGTTTACAAAATAGCATTTCTTAAGTATCAAATTACCAAAAAAGTTTCATATAAAACATCAATGTTACAGGATGAAATAAGCAAACTATTCACTGACTGAAATTTCACAGTCACCTAGGTAATATTTCTTGACTTTTCTATTTCTATGAGTGGTGTCAATATACCATAGTCAGCATAATTTGTACATTCAATATAATTTGTTAAATAATGCACAGATAGCTCAATTCACACAAAGCATCAAGCCCCTCAAAGTATCTTGATTTAGTGCAAACTTGGCTCAAAGACCTGGACTAGTAGGCTACAAAAAATGTTGACAGGCAAGTCTCTGCTCTTAGAAGGTTCTGAAAAGGCAAAAGGGAACTGTAAATATCTATCACCTATTATTAGTGACCAAGCTTAGCCAGAAACTGTTAATGACTCAAATATTATATATATATATATATATATAA